GGATGACCGACGTATAATCATGGGAACAACGTACTTAATGTAAGTGTACTCTTTTTAGATGATGTGTGAATAAAAAAATTAATTTTTGTATTCACGGATAACGTAGAGCAATACTTGATATTTTTTTCGTAATAAGTAGTAAAACGTCGAAACATGTATATAAACATTTTTAGGGTGAATCACTGTTAGTTACGTATTTTTTTTATGATTCAATGTGTATCTAACCGATTAGAAAAATGTTTTCGAGAAGCTCGGACATTATCACAGTCATAAGTATTATTATCAATATCATCTTTTCAGCACCAACATCGTCACCTTATGCGAATACAGGACAGAGAATTTTTAAAATAATCCACCTCAAAAACATATGCGTACATACATGTTGAAATTACGAAATGACTAATTCTTATTTATTGTACGTATATAAATAATCCAGTCTATATTTTTCATTTAGACAAACAACGTACCAAATATTTAGCGAATTTTTTTTTTTTTTTAATACAACAAATAGGATACCGGGGTAACGTACGCATTCTTAAATATGACGTAATGCGTACATACTTTGCGCTATACTGTACCAATGTACAAACCAATGCAGGCAATACATGCATGTAGATAAATCACTATCGAAAACCACCATTCATAGGTAAGTTTTATGTATTTTTATTTCGATCCCTGCGGTGACGGATCCCTATTGGTTGTAGCCCACGCGTAGGGTTTCAATGGTTTCGAAAGTACTGGTGGTCGCGGTGCATAGAAAATTCGGAAGAAAATTATTCATGTGACGGGGTTGCCGTTTGAAAAACAAAAACCTCAAGTGCCGCAAGGCACGCGTCGTTAAGAGGTACGATTTGCGCCGAAAAACACCGTACAGCGCTCGTGGCGCACTTAAACCGCACGGTCAACGGACGAGCCGAGCGCCGTGGTCGAGCGCGTTCCGAAGATCAACCCCCGTACGTCCGCGGAGCGATTCACGTGCGCTCGGTACCGCCCTCTGCACCCTTACCGGGAGACGCTGGCCCTTGACGACGCGTATACTTACGGAACACGGTTACGCGCGGGCCCGGCGGCGCACTCGAAACAATAAAACCGTCGGCGGCGGACGCGGTTGAACGTAATCCGCAAAAGGTGTTTTACGTGGCAACGTGTTTAATGGCCGGCCGGCATTGGTTCGTCCCGGCAGTCGGCGGGAGCTTAGAAGTAAACAAGATAGTAATTTTCCCGGACGTAAATCGTTAAACGCAAAACGGCCGTGCCCCCCCCCCCCCTCGAGGTTTTGCCTCTGCCGCAAAGAACCGACTTACGCGTACGCCCGTTTTGAAATGCAATTACGATTCGTCGAGCGTATTACGATCCGTGACCACAAGCACACACACACACACACACACACTATGACGCGTATGTGTGTGTAATACCCCTCCAAACGAGTGTGAGCAGAGATCAAAGAAATGATAAAATCGATTTCACGCGTGCAGCTAGTCTGTGCACCTAAAAGGGCGTGTTTGGATATTCAATTTCTATCGTTATTATAATCATACACTAGTTCTATTATCTATTAAACATTATAGTGCAACGATTACATCATTAGATGTTCCAGTGGATACAAAATCGGGTGGAGGCTGAGTTACTGATCAATGTTTATATTTGGAAGCGATAACGTGGCATGGAGAAGATTATAGGGATTATGGTAGGATGGGATCGAGAATTGAGAAAAATACCGGTATTGGTAGTTGGGTAACTGAGGCATCGAAGATGGGTGAATAAGTACAGTATAGAGAGAGAAAGGAAACCCATCCTTAACCGAAGACGAGATGGTGGAAATAATGCAATGTTTCTTCGTGAAACTCACCCGCACAAAAGTGAGAATAGCGGAGAGAAAATAATTGCATAACTCTAAATGGGAAAATGCGATTATTGCGTGCCTGGAAGGAGGAAAGGGAGAAAACTATGGTCAGACGATTACTTGATATTATTATCATTACACGATTGTTTATTTGATTTAAGGCGGCAAGATACAAGTATTTAAGTCGTGCGTTACTCATTCGGGGGTGTACTTGCAATTATTTTTCCTAATTCTGCGTGATAAAACAATTGTTGTGTATGCTTTCCTCGATGTTTCTATGAACCGGTTTCTGTTTAAGATGTAACTGCAGCGCTTTAAATCGACAGTGTTTGAACAGTTGAAATCAATTACTGTCGACTAAAATCGTGATACATACCCATCGGAAAACAAACATATACAAGATTTATGGAAGTTTCGGTGAAGTCTAAGAATAAAATATCATTATTTATGAGTTATAATGAAAATAATCGGACTTTTTTGCGGGACATGAAATTTCCGAAGAACAGAATAGTTTGTGAACTCGAATGGACGGGCAGTCAGTGGCCACTGGCCCTGTTATTGATGGATACGGGCGGTGACATATGGTTCGATTCCGACCAAACATTTTTATCAAAACCACAAACACCACGGGATTACCTACACACGTATTTTACGCGATCTGCGTCAGTACGAACTAAATTCTAGTGCACGGCCATCGGTAATCAATAATCGTATTGGATGGGAAACAAGAAATATATATGTATTCACGCGAAATTAAATTAATTCGACTATTAAGCGGATTGAGTTCAGCGCAGTAATTTCATTAAATTGTTCAGAACGATGTACTACTAATTGACAACATTGCTCGTGCATAGGTTTATCGTCGATAACGGGGACCAATTGGAAACGATAACACCGGTGGCTGGTCTCTGGTGTGCACACGTTTTCCCTGTCGACCCGTGTAGAATTAGTCTTTTGCTCTCGTAAAAATAACGCGTACCACCGGAACACGGATAACGATATCGTAATAAAATGCGAAACAACAGCGTCGCGGACAAAAATGTACGTTAATAAATACATATACATGTAATTATGATTTTAAAGCACACGCGCTCGTGCGCGCAGTCCATGTACGTTATAAGGCAAATGGTAAACAATAAACTGCTGTGTCGCAGACACACGCGTTCGCGCACATGAAACGAGTCATTGAAACGAAATAATGTCCATTATCGTATGTACGATGTTGAATATTACGTGTGCGCGAAATTAATAAATGAATAAGGCGTGTCGGATGGCGATCATTGGTTTTGGAACAATACGCAATTGCGCCGTGGTAACACTATTATATTTTTGAAATAATCAGGCGCATGCACTGCCGCGAAACGTAGCTGTAATCGCTTGCGTTTTCAACAAATCGTCAACTACGAATGTCAACGATTCCTTAGCCGTGTTGTGAAACTGCGTATTTTTTTTCTTTCTTATCAAGTCGAATGCAAACGATTACAAGAACGTCTAGCGGTCGTAGACGTTACCCATTAAATGATATTGGCTTACCCGTTATATTGTTATGAAATCAATAATCGAACGAACGATACGCATAACTGCTCTACGGGTCGGGAAAACGGAAACATTTTTCCTAGGGACCACGTGTGCGCTTGTGATTCCGTAGACGTAACGGGGATGGTTTTGAGATTGTTTTTACGGTTGATTTTTTTTCTCCCATTACCTTACGTTCACGCTCGGGCGATTGTATTTTGTTGGTTATTTTTGGCACGTTTCTGGCACAACACCTCATTGCAATAGAAATGTAGCCAAAAAAATGTTATTCCTTTTCCTTTTGGAAAACCGTCAAGTTCTAGTCAAGCACGAACTTACTGTTCCACGCTTACTTCACCCCCTTTCCGATATCAACATCCCACGGTCTGTTTCCGTAAAGCTTTATTCCTCAAGTTCTACTGCAGATGTATCTGGGAAATACAACACAGTACAGTATTTACTTTCTTCTCTGCAGCACTAATGATATTATTGACTTGACGCCAATTCGATAGGTTTACACTTCTCATCGCCATTCAGCAACTTTTTCCGGATTTCAGTCATTACAATGCACGTAAGACACTGGTGAATGACTATATGTGAGCGTACTTAAACCAATACATACAGATCGGCTGCGGTGTCGGTAATGCACGAGTTGATGAACAATTATCATACTTAATTTGGTTGTTATTTATTAATATGTTATAATCGTGTAGCAGCGAATACGATAAAAAAATTAAGAAAAAAATAACCTAGCAACCGAGTGGTCTGTACGTTAGTGTTGAAAACCTCATGGGTAAAATTGAAGTATTAATAAATTCCCGGCCGCATAATGTCAATATGAGATGATAGTTCGTAGAATGAATCGTGACGTTATACATTCGAACCGCAAATTCATAGAATTAATATTTGTTTGGCTCACGTGGACAATGCACGGTACTGTTTGGTTTTTGTTTGCAAGGGTGGTTGTCACGATTGCGGTCACGGTTATCGAGAATGCTCGAGGTAGATTATCATATCTTATATCGCTGGCTAATGTAGATTTAAGGCTCACACAATGTATTATCACTTCCGGATTCGCATTGAACCCAATTTAACCTAACCTAACAATAATGCTCTGATTGAAGAACTTTCTGCCCAACATTTGCGTGGTTATAAAAATAAAACAACTTTTCCTCTTATCTACGTTCTTATGGCAAATCGTATAGCAAAATCATGTTACAAGTATTAAAAAATAAAAATCGAAATTTTAATCCCTATTCTATCATTATTGATTTCGAAAAAGCATTCATATTTTAAAGATACTTGGATCGACCGTTCGACTCGTAATCATAGACGTTTACCTGCATTTGAAATAAGTATGTGGAATTTTTATAAAAGAATTTAAAAAAAAAAATTCTCAAACAACTCAGTTGAGGGCTTGCACAATGCATTTAGTTCGTCATTAGAAGCAAATCGCGTAACTATTGGGAAGTTTATCTCATTTATGAAACAAGAACAATTATTACGAGAGGTATTTATACAAATTATACAGTTATAATATAATATTATGATACTATATATTAATTATTATTATAATACATGATTAAAAATTTAAAATGTTCACAGGTTAAATTAGAAAAATTAATTTCTGGAGAGCCAAGTCCAAAAAAAAAAAAGGAAAAAGTATAAGGATAGTGACGAAAGGCTTTTACGTGTCATAGAAAAAATTCAATGAAATGACAGCTCTTCAATATTTTAGAAGAATCGCTCATAATCTCAAATTTTAAAACAGTAAAAATTAAAATTTATAATAAATAATAATGCATGTTACTTAATTAATGCATAATTGTGAGATAATTTAATTTTACATTTATAATAAATAATAATAGTTATAATAATCAAATCTGAAATATTTTTTGCGGAGATATTTTTTACTGGAGATATTTTGACGGATCACCTGATTCTCGATGCACCACCACTCGTCGAGATATCCTCGGCCTAATGGTTCACTCCGTCGTACAATCGTATTACTGGATCCAACGTCAATAATATAATTTACTCAAAGGAAGTGAAAATGTAATTAACAGTAATGCTATTTCGTAATATTTCATTTTGGTTAAAAGTACATACATATGTATTACAGGCGTTTTAAGTGTTACGGTTATTACGTTCAACCTAATCTAAGCTTTACAATAAATTAACCAATAATTAAAACACCTAATATATCAATGCATTTATTCAAGTATAATATAAATATATACATAAAACAATAATTTAATTTAATTAATTATCGTAGTAAAATAGGATTTATTTATTTTACACTTAAATAAAAATAAATACTATTGACTGGATTTAATATCTAGCATCATTGCACCCGCTGATACCTATCTCTCATAGCCGAATTAATAGTAAAATGCATTATGTAAGTAGACATCAGGAGAATAAAGTTCGGTGTTTAATAGTTTAAATAATAATTATAGATTTCCATAAAAACTAAAGTAGACAAAACGAATTAAAATATTTTATTTAAAGATTAAAAATTAACGTATAAAATATTAAATATGGATAGTTCACTAAAATATATTGATTACTCTTGGTATGAACCATGTTATAATAAGTATTACTAAAACTGCCATCATTTCATATTATATTTATGTAGCAAATATTTGATTGGTTCTGTGACAAATACAGAATTTTCATAAAGATTGTACAAGAAAATGTATGCTTGAATAAATATTAAATTAATTTACTCTGATTAATTGTATGTCTTACGTTATATTTTAAGTTTATTTTCTTTTTTACAATTACATGAGTTAAGTTTATGATCTCCGAGGATTAAAACGATGTTATGCCATGATATTTGAGTGTAATGGAGATTGTATAGAATATAGTGCGATTGTTGCACGATAAGTAATCAGAAAAGACAAAAACGAAGCTGAAGATTTTTTTTAGATTTTGAGCAATGTGTCAAAAACATAAATTTATACAACGGATCATTCTTTTTTCCTAACGTTTTTATAATAACCTGCCACTTTCTGGTAATAAAGTATACTTTTTTTTATATAACATTTTAGTATATTCAATTAATTGGATATACTGAACCGACCACTGTGGGAAAAATTCAGGTTCATTAAAACTTCAGAGTTACCCTTATCTTTCAAGGAAATCTAAAAATGATCAGGTTCGATAAATTGTACAACAAAATATTAATGATTTTTTGAAAATACCTTGAAAGCATAATGTTGTATATCCATAATGTAAAAGTTACCTAACTTTTGTATTCTATATTTTTTTAAATGAATTCTAAAAAAAAAAAAAAATAATTATAATATTGTAGTTTTTGTAATCATGTGGTCTAGTTACGCATATGTTCTTAAATGAGCTTCGTTAAGGATCATTGTTCCTTATTTTTTTTCTTACAAACATTCGTTATCGAATTGTATTTTATAATGCCGATACAGGTCTACTTAAAATAGCTACCTTGTTCTGTATGCAGAAAACGTGTGTACCATTTTAAATTGATTTTTATTTGTTAAGAAGGATATGTGGCTGACAATAATCCTGTTTTAGTCGCAGTGTTGAATTGACGAGGTGATTTAGCAGGGATTTTTCAGAAATGACGCAATTTTTCATAATTTAAATTTGAATTAAATGCTCTTCATCACGGAGGTGATATCAAGGCAAAATGGTTAAAATGTTATTCAGATTTTTATATTCACTCGACATTAAAGAGAATATTTGTAATTACTGAGAAAATGAAATTATGCTTGTATCAAAAATAATTATTGATTAATGTGCGCTATCTTTTCTTATAATTGAAATTATTATTTAATGGATTTTATTTTAACGCATATAATTTTATGTGATTGAATATCGAAGTTTATTGTGCTTTAAATATTATTTATCAAATTATAATAATTACAACTTACAATTAAATATTACTTTATTGTCATTAAAACAAATTTTTTATTCTTAAAAAATTAAAAAAGAAACGTCAAGATTACAAAAACGTTATCAAAATATGCTTACGTTTTTAATTAAAAGAAGCGGTTATTTTTTTAAATATTTGAGTATGAGCTTACATGCATAATTATGTTATGAGTTGCACGCATTAGTTAAACGCATGAAATGAACTCATGAAAAGTATGTTATTGATGCAAAATATTGTATTTTCAATATTTACAATATCGTTTAGTCAGTTGATAAATATATATTTAAAACCGTTAATACAAAATAAAACGCTGCTGTTCACGAAATAAGCGCGTTATGCCGACAAAAGTTTTAAAATAAAAAAAAAGTTCTTTTTGTTTTTTTTTAATCCTCCTTTTGAACTCATTGATTTATTATGTTATCTTCTCATCATGAAATTGAGTACGCTTCTTATTGCAGTGACATTTTTAACGGGGTCATCAGTGGTTATTTACGGTAAACCAAAATATTGGTATTCAACTGCGGAACAATACCATTACGTTAATTTTGTCTTATCTGTATGAAAGTGACAGTATCCAAAACTATTTATAAATGGAAACCTTTAAACAACGCAATGCACAAAAAAAAGTTTTTATAGATTTATTCGTCAATTCAAAACAATCCCATTTAAAAGCAAATGGACTTTGACTTTTTGTTAGTAGTCGCATACTTCTTTGCCAGCACCACCGCCGCGGCGTCCGGATCCATTATTTTGATCCGCAAACTCTCATGGCCCCGATAAGCAATATTATTAGAATATATACTCTCTCGTAACCTATCACGTGATTCGGAATAGCTATTGTTTTACATACACTACGACTGCTCACGTCCCCCGCACGACTAGATTTGTCTGTGCGGGAAACAACTTTATACGTAATAAATATGAATCCTAAATGCAAAGTTGTTGGTAAAAAAAGTTCTTTTAACTCGAATGAATGGATTTTTATTCTTGTATATAAATATATATATATCCGTATATGCATTTAGTATTTGACTTCAAAAGTCTTACTTGAACCTTTAGATCCCGAAAACATAACTTCTGAACCCAAGTGAGGGTAGGTTTTTTGTGAGATACATACCTTTATGCTTACTCGTATTTTGTTAACATTTCAAATATTATTAATTAATAAACTCGAACGAGAGAAACACGAGTGCCGAATAGGTGTAAAATATTATATACTTTTGAATTAGTAACATTGCACACAAAATCAAAATAACAATATTCTATGGTGGAGGGAAAGGGAGTTTATGAATATATTAACAAATCATGGCGTTGCTCTCGTATTGTATTTATAGTAGTCGAATATATAGTATTCGTTTATAATATTTATTCTGAATAGAGTTAAAACGATATATTTATTCAAAAAACTATTGTACAAAAACATGGTAATTTTCGATCATGGCATACTTTGGTCCATTAGATAAAAGTTGCGTCATGACTGCTCGAAGACTATAAAAAATTATAATCATAACATAAAACTATAATCATTAATGATGCTTATGCATGTTCCCGTAAATTATTACAAGAATTATAACGACCGAAGTAATACAAATAATTTCGAAGTCGAGACTATATGTTTTTTTAAATTGTTACCAATAAATAATTGCTTGGAACTGTTAAACAAAAATGAACGTTCAAAATTTAAAATTTACTCAGATAAACAGGATTTATCCCAAAATTAACGCGTTGCATTTTTGTTTAGTGAGTGTTTTGATAATTTATACGCGGAATTTATTTTATTTAGAACGCGTATTTTTACATTTAATATTGTACGAGGAGTGGACATTTTTTTCTAACTTAATGTATTGGAATAACAATTTTTTTTCTTCCTGTATTGTATTAAAAATATAATGTATTGAACATTTATAAATTATTTAAATACATCAATCGTATTTATTAAGTGAACAAAATGGAGATTACATTTGAAGAAACAGACTACTTGAATTTTTTTTAATTTGCTTGATATGATTTTTGCTGTACATTCGGTTCATTATACTCGTATATAAACTTTAATTAAGTACATGTGAAATTCATCCGTTGATTGGTTTCTAAAATCGAATTTGATAATATTCGTTTTCTAAAAAGAGTGACTCATATTAATAATTTGAAGAAAAGTTGACAAAATACTAAAATTTTTAAAATGGTTTATTGTGGCTTTATTTTTTATTATTAAAAATTAAATATAATTAGTAAATATTTTAATTTTTCTTGTATCCTCATCAATTTTTTTGCATACCATTTCGAACACACGTGCATTAGGTTTTTATTCCCTGTATTATACGAACATGAAATCTATAATACAAATCAAACATTTTCATTTACCAACGTATAAGTACCTGTATATTTAAATGTATTCTTGTGTTTCACAACTCTACAAATATGTATAGATGATGATTTAATGTTAAGGTTAAAACCAGTAATACATTAAAACTTAAGATTTCCGGTTTAAACGAAAAATAAAATAAATTTAAATTAAAAATTATTAAACGGTTAACACTTGTAAATTACTATATAAATAAATAAATTCTTAGCGTGGAGTATTATTATATAATCATTTTAATTAAAAATCATTTTCGTATCAAAATTATTTCGATTAATATTTGGCATGGACTTCTTAAAATGTATGATAACTTATTAGAAATAATATTTTTAACAAACATTTTTTTTTTAGTTTAATAAAAAGTCTAAAAATTCTACTTTAACTAAGTTAACCTATCTAAGTTAACTAAAAAGTAAATCAACTTTTTGCAATTAATGCGTATTAATCTAATTTAAGTGAGTTGCAAACAAACCCTGTAACTTGCCCGCTCTCAATGAACAT